ATGGATTCTGGGCTCCCATAAGGGACAATTTGCATTGTATGAATGGGGGGATTCAGGTATAACCTCTTCTTCCTCATTTACCACAGCTTCCTTGGATTTAAAAATTTTCCAAAACGGGCTTAAATCTGCAATCTCAACCCTCAACCACTGCCGGAAGCGACTTCCATTTCTCTTCCCTGCTTTAGATTCATCAAAGGCGATCTCTTCGCAGCATCCCACGTGATGACCTATTTTCCCACATGAGTAATAGAAATGCGGAAGCCTCAGTCTTTCCTCATGGTGCTCTGAAAGGCGTAGATGTTGATATCAGGGTTTAACATCAGTCTACTCAGTAGGATATGTTGGCATTCCCAGAGTTGTGACCACTCCATCCAATATTACCATGTCTACATTTAACCATAGTTTCGCTGATTTGTTTACACAGGGCTGCGACTTTGTCACTTGAAAAGGCTTCGTCACTTATTAAGATCAGCCCACATGGAGGGTAGAGAGAAAGCTCCACCAAAGAGAAGCTCATTAGTTTCGTTAATTCATGGAAAGAAATTAATAAACCCGGACACGCTACCAAACTGGTGTAGTGACCTGGGATTGATACATTGAAACTCAGAAGTGTCTCATCTTACGTGCTCGAAAAGTTAAAAAAGAATCAAATAATGATTGAGAACTCCTTCAGAGCTTTCTCTGTACATTGAATTGAACTCATAATGATCAAATTTGACAGACCTAGTCCTCCTACAGGCCCCTGGAACCAGGAACATCGATCCACTGAAGTTGGAGCTCGACCTCACCACGCTCCACATTGCGGAGCCGGAGCACCATGTCCTGCACCACTTTGCCATCACTCCACACGATAAAGCTCTCCTCCGCCAAGCAGTTGTCCCTGCCTGGCTTCACTCTGGTGATCACGGTTCCATTCTGGACATCATCCAATCTCATCCTCAACGCATCTAGAAAGGGTCCAATGTGTATATCAGCGTCCCCCATCTTGTCGTCAAGTGTGAATTTGTCCTGGTCATATACCATCAATTTTATGGAGAGGCTCGGGTCGGCAATCGAGAGAGTCAGCTCGTTCCACTCTGGGTTCAGGTTCCTCTTGACCACCCGAGTTTTCAGTTTCTGCAAGAAGCATCAAGAATTTAATTAATTGGGTCTGTTTAGCAGAAAGCAACATTGGACTTTAAACTACTTAAATTAAGAGAAGCAGTAATTGGAGAGTGGGCTGATTCACGTACATGTTTGCCCATTCTGATGACAACATAAGGATCACTGCTTCGGACGTCTCGGATCGCGAGGTTCACTCCTCTGTGGACGTGAACTCTCAAAAGTCCCAAAAGATGTTCCATTTAGTACAAGACAGATTTGCTCTTGTCCTTAAATAAGAGAGAATGAAATAAATTGCCCAAGTTAGAAGGAGGCGGTGCCACGGGAGCGAAATCTACGTGCTTCTGATATCGTTTTCTGGATGAGAAAGAATGCAAACTGGGAATTTGTTCGGTTGTATGATGCCAATGCCCAATGTCCGGTCTGGTCTTTTTATACTGAAAGGCGAGAGGCACAAAGAGAAGGATTAACACGTCAGATGATTCTGGGTTTGACTTTGAAAACTTGACCCGGCCATGTAATCAATTCAACAATGATTACGCGCAGTTTGAACTGCTTCAGTTGGCTCCTTCTTCTGTACAGTGAAAAGTTCGGTCTATTAGGAAAGAACTCAACAAGCTGTGATGGTGATGGTTCACCTACACGCAAAGGTAGGCAATTACGGGCTATCTATGCGCGTTCGGGGGCCTAACTGGCTGCTTGTAATGCTAAAAGCGGTGGTGTGAGGGGTCGTGTTCCGACATTGACGAGACGGTCAAAGGTGAGAGTGAGAGGGACGATGTGACCAGACCATGTCCACGATCCTTGAGCCCCAAAGTCTTTTGTTCTGGGACGGCATTGCCCGAGTCTGCCCATCCCTGGAAGGTCGAACATTCCGGCATAGCATGGAGACTGATCTCTGGGATGCTCGGAGGAAGAAATTACTTGGCTGCTATCCGATATAATTGGCATCCCTAGTAAGTCATACCGAATCCTTGTCATTAATAAATGGGTTTAATTTATTTATTGGATTTAGCGGAACGAACCTGGTGTCCGGATCGGTTTTGGCGTACTTGATGGGTCCACATTCCCAAAGCACTCTTTTCCGCATCAGCATAGTGCATTCAATATTTCATTGTTACAACCCTCTCAACAAGACTAATGTGGGGGAGCGAGCAGGAAATCATCAAGAGAGAGTTTAAGTAAGAAATCGTCAACATATCCAGTTTGACCTACACCACGCCAATTTTCCGACACTCACCTTCATCCATGGTCTATTTCTTTAGATTGAACCATGAAGTCTACCATTGGAACCTCGAAACCACATTGCTACACTACAACGTCCACCTATCCGGAAATAGCTTTAATAAGCTCGATGCCTTCACCCGAGGAGATCGGCAAAAAGGATCCCAAGTCCAAGCCCGTCAACATATTCAATTATACCCACTTTCACTAAAAAGCGTAAGCCAATGAGTTATGAGATAACTTGGATATATTAACTACTCTACACTAAACAAATTCTCTAATGTGGAACTTCTATAACACAACTCATACATGCATCTCACCAATTGAAGCCCAAGACCACAATAGAAGAGCAAACTCGGTTGTCATTTAAGCCATTTAATAGAGCCCTCTAACTATGGATTCTAATCTTAGAGGATCTAGGCTTTGTTTGGTTATTCAGAATGAAACAATTTGAATTACATCCTGTTCATTCTAAATTAGCTAAAGGGTTAGTAATAGATCGAACCGCACTTCCAATAGGGAAAATATCATTCATGACACAAGAAGGTTAATTCTTTAAGTGGGAGAGTTTATACAAATTAGTAATTTTATTTTCAATGAGAGAGGTCATGTTAAATGATTAATAAGTGAATATCTTTTCTAAATAGATGTCATTTTGTGTGGTTAGTCAGAGTAGCTTGGCCACTAAAAGATAGATGACTCCAGGACAGACCTCTCACTGGACAGTGGAACAGCAAAGGTTGCCTTTGAGTCGTTGACGACGGTTAAAACATGCGGCAATGATGCGATTGGTAGGGAGAGATGGAAATATATTTGAGTAAATGCAGGGCAAGTGTACCCTCATGGGAGCAAAATCAAGGCAGCTTTGTTGTGCTCCGATTTAACAATCGATGCTGACAAGTTTTCGATCAGATCACTGACAAGACACGAGACCTAACAATCGACCTTGACAAGCATAAATCTAAAGGCTGACAAACGTGCCGGACTTTCCCGTGCATCAAGTCGCGGGAGGGCAGGCAAGCCTAGCAGATCAACGTCCAGATTAGATGTCGAGATGTGTTGTGAATAATGTACTGTTGCAGTTACTCATAAGAAAAGTATTTGCTGTTACAGTCTGAGATTAGGGAAGTCTTTTGAGTCTTCTAGAATTGGTATAGGAAAAGTCCTCCCAGCGCCAGGAAAAAGTATATTCAACCATAACACTATTATATTCTATCCCCGTCGTCGTCCCTTTTCTTGGTAAGCGATTCAGTCGTTCCCGACAGGTTATCATGCTATGATTAGTTGATCTTGTTGAATAAAACGATTTGACCTACATTCATGCCGCTAAGGAAACAAGGTTTTCTAGAACATTTACGCCTCAATTGCACCAAGAAGAAAGAACTAACGGAGTTCCTTCCGCTTGTAAAGTTAAAATATGTTTTTCAAACTTCATTCTTGTTATCCAAGTATGAGGTGGACTACGTAAATACGTTAGGGAAATTACCAAAAAAGTATTAAATATATTGTACTTGTGCCAATTCGATCCTAAACCATTTAATCATGCCAAATTAATCCTAAACATTTTGATAATCTGCCAATTTAGCCTTAAATCTTTCAATTGTGCGAATTCAATCTTTAACTTTTTTACGATTTGTCAACTTAGTCCTTCCAAACAATTGGCCAAAAATCACTGACATAGCGATCTAGTCAGCACTGGCCATGACTAGATGGCTAGCGTTGACGTGGACAATTTTTTATATTTTCTAATTTTTCAAGTTTTTTCTTCTTTTCTTTTTTCTTTTTTCTTTTTTTTCCAACCCTAGGCCGGCGAGGTCGCTGACTGACCCTCGTCGACCATAGGTGAGGGCCAGCCTCACCGATTGACCGAGGGTTCGAAAAAAAAAAAAAAGAAGAAAAAATTTAAAAAAATTATCCATGTTAGTGCCAATCATGCTCTACGCAGGACGTCCAACGCTGACTAAATCGTCACGTCAGCGATTTTCAGCAAAAATTGACTGGAAAAACTAAATTAGCAATTCGTCAAAAGGATTAAAATTATATTGGCACAATTAAAAGGTCTATGATTAAATTGACAAGTCGCCAAAAAGTTTAGGACTAAATTAGCGAGATTGTAATGTTTATGACTAAATTGACACAAGTGCAATATGTTTACTACTTTTTTGATAATTTTCGCTAGATACATTAGACATAATTATCTGCCTCTATAAGCTCTCTTTATTTGTCTCTAAAACATCTTGAGGCGGGATACCGCGTATACTCCCATCCCTAATACTATTCTACTTAGAGGTGAATTTGCGACGAATTTGTATTTGCCTCAAATTCTACACTAAAGTTTCATCACGAGATTACGGTTTGTGGATCTTGTTTCGAAATTATCTCGCATCGAAAGCAAAACATGACTTGACACGGTGGATCGATCCCTCGAGGGAAATGTACAGAAAACCCCTGTTTGCTTCTCTGCCATTTTCTCTTCGTTTTCAGCACTCACGTTCCCTTTTCACGATGTGTTTTGCTTCGGTTTAGATTAACAAGGAAGAGCCTGAACCGTTCAGTTACTCGCTGAAATGACCCGCTAGAGTCACTGCAAGACCGAGGCAGGAGCACAAGAATGATGCATACATTAGCTGTGTAAAAGGGAGAGAAGAAATCCGCAGACACAATAGTAAATGGGGTTCGCAGAAAAACGAAACTTCATTCAATAATCAGAGTCTACAGTGAAGGTCCATCCTCTGTTCATTTAGCAAGAGCATGTGAACATAGAGCAAAACCTGGCCACTTCTACAAGCCCCTAGAACCAGGAACATCGATCCACTGAAGCTGCAGCTCGACCTCGCCGCGCTCCACGTTGCGGAGCCGGAGGACCATCTCCTGGACCGCCTTGCCGTTGCTCCACACGATGCAGCTCTCTTCGGCCAAGCAGTTGTCCCGGCTGGGCGGCACTCTGGCGATCACGGTCCCGTTCGGGATTCCGTCCGTGGGTGCTCTCAGGGCTTCCAGGAACTTCACGATGTGGAACTCCGCATCCCCCATCTTGTCGTCTAGGCTGAACCTGTCCTTGTCGTACACCAACACTTGCACGGGGAGGCTCGGGTCGGTGATCGAGAGAGTTAGCTCGTCGTTCCACTCCGGGTTAGTGTTCTGCTTGATTACCTTAGTCTTCAGTTTCTGTGAGACACATCGAAACTTTCGATCAGACAAGCCGAAAGCAAAACCGAATCCTACAATATGTTTTATCAGACAAATCCAGATCAGAGCAAAGCCCTGGAGCTGATTTTGGTCCCCGGTGTTGATTCAATTGATCAAAACTATATGATACTCGCAGAACCACATACTATGGACCGATCAGAACCAGAGACTACTGAAAATCGCACAAAAGGGCAGGTACGCTATACATGCCATGTCCCCAGATGCTCGACTCTTGATCAGATCAAACAAAACCTCGAAACAATGAGATGGGTGTTCCAAGAAACGCATCGTGCACCAAAACAAGAAGCGGGAAACGGCGGGGACGAGCTGACCTGTTTCCCCATTCTGATGACGACGTAAGGATCGCTGCTTCGGACGTCTCGGATCGCGAGATTCACCCCTCTGCGAACATGGATTCTCAAGAGCCCCAGGAAATGCTCCATCGAGCGAAACTGATGCAGTCTACAGGAACCGATCCCCAGTGGGCAATTGAACAGTAGGGAGCGAAGGCGACAATGGGGTTGCGCTCTCCTCTGGCTGTGAGAAAGCAACTGACGATTACGACGAAGCTGGACAGTCGATCTATATACTAAGGGGTTCTCGGGCGGTCCATGTGTTAAATTAGGCGGACCGCTTCTACGAACCAATGCGAACCTTCCTCTTTTCTTCGTTTGACGAGAAAGTCGCAAAGACGAGCGAGCGAGCGAGAGTTCGAGAAAGAATCGCTGGGGATAATGCTGCCTTGGGGAGGCTTTACGTGCCGTTGACGTTGACCGCGATCCTTAGGTTTGAGTTGACTGGTCAGCAGGATGATCGAGATCCATTCTCTTTTGCATGTACCTGACACACTTCGAACGACTCGGCTGTTCTGACATGGTCATGCGTTCCAGAAAGCAAAGCACTTTCGTATTTTGGTAAGGAAATTGCATTGGAAACTCTTCATTTTTTTTTTTTTTGGGAAACTCTTCATTTTTCTTCTTTGATAACTTGATTTTATTATAGACAATGCAGCAAAACAAAACGCTGTATTATATACCAATGCCTTAACCCCCCAGCCTTTTTGCTTTCATCAGTGCCTTAACCCCCTTCTCGTGAACCAACTTTTTTATGCTCCCGGTATATCAAATTTAAAGTGTTGAGTTTATGGTTCGAGTTCTAGTCAAATCAGTGTTGGATCGAAACTAGGACATCGAGATTAGTCGGAGACGCATTACGAGACATTGTGCAGCAGCTATGTGGAGAGGACCGGGCACCTACAGCCAAGGTTCTGGGCTGCCGGCCCCCGGTAGCTAATTTGCTATTGAGCATTGGCCAAACAATTGTCACAACAATGCACCGATCGGAATTATGCTATAATGAACTCGTTTGGGAGAAAACTTGTAACTTGATTCATGAGTGCAACCCACCATCATAATTCCTCACATTTGTAAGTACCTTTTTTGGGGGCCTTGAATTACACGAATCTTAGCTAGGTCTTTATAAATTGCATAGAAGTCATCGAAGAATGCAATTCGTGAGCCGTCCTTGCGCTAATACAGCCACCACTCAGGCCTCCCGGAGCTAGATCTAGCTTCGCAACAACGAAGCGGAGGATAGAGCTAGCAGTCCGACGGCCATCGTGTCGTGAAAGTCGTCGTGATTATGCCGTGTCAAATTTCAATCTAACCTCAATAAGTTGTTACTTTTCTTCAAACTTTTTAATGACGTCACGGTACGAAGAAACTCAAGATTTCCAACATGTGCGGCGTCGGCCGCCCGGCAAAAGAAAATTAGAAAAAAAAAAAAAGGATTCCGATTTAGTGCATGAAAATTAGAATCTCTAGTAATATAGAAACAAATGAAAATAATTGTTAATTCCTCACGGGCATTGGATTATTCAGTATTCTAGCCGGGACTCGAAACATACGACGGACACGGTCATCAAGAACTAAAATAATAAATAATAAAAAGATAACGTTAACGTTCCGAGGAAATTGAAAGTACTCCTTTTTTCCCTAGGAATCCTCGAGGGGAACTTGTGGTAGAGTCAAAGAAGTGGTGATGCTATTTGCGCCATCCAATCAAAGTGATCCACGTGGAATTGTGACGACATAATTCGGCCTCGTACGATGAATAATCGTCATCGGAAGAAATTGAATTTTGGTGGATGTCAGATCTCAGAACCGAGAATGATGCACAAGTCAAATTGACGATGACACCAAAGAAAGATCTATAGCCTCGATCCACATTATCTTATCGCTGGCGAGATCCAATTTAGGCCGTCAATGGCCGGACTTTGCTTTTTTATTTCTTGTTGTATATAATTTTCGACTTAATTCCCTTAAAAAAACCTTCGATTTTAAGTCCGATCCTAATTCTGTCATGAACCGTTTTTTGTTGCAAAAAAAAAATCACAAACTTTCATTGTAATCTCAAATATATCATCTTCACTAATACTCTCGCCTTCGTATGGAACAACGACAACCTCCTGACGTTGATAATCTTGAAGAAAGCAGTGACGATTTTGGACACGGGGCGGATCTGGGACTATAGAAAGGTCGGGGCTAAATTGAGATTGAACCTAAAATTAAGGATTCTGTAGGGAACTAAGCGTATAATTTTGTAGGTAAATCATAAGCGATGGTATTGCCTACTATATCAAAATTTTTTTTGAAAGTTGTTGTTAAGTGGGACCTACCGTGTATTAGCTTGATTGAAATTGTTAAGCCCGAAGGAGAGGTCGCAAACACACACACACACACACACACATAGTTGATTGCTCCTTCCTATTCATTGCAAAAAGTTCTGTAATTGAATGAGTCCAATTTATAGTTGGCCAAATAAATGCAGTCAAAGCTTTGGGATCGGCGCAATTGGTTCTAGTTACGAAGGGTTTCGTACTCGAGGGATTGAAGGTCACCCATATCAATCTTATCGATTGTATGCAGCATGCTTTGGGTCTCGTTCAATTGCAAAGGTCAAATGCCTGGAGTTAGCCGACTTGGGCTCTGTCTTTTTTTCTTTCTTTTCTTTTCCAAGGATTGTCAGGTGGATGAGGACAATGAGATGAAAAGAACAACGGAAGTGAAGAAAGAAAATGTGAGGAGAAGAAGTTAGGGGTTGTTCAGATTGAGTGGGAACTGAACATAAAAAAAAAAAAAAAAGCATCTGGATTTGAATACCTTATTTTGTCTGGAAAGAAAGGGAAAATTACAAGGAAAGAAAAATATTTCAAGCGATACGATTCAGACCGTTACGCTAATTTTCAAGATTGTAATTAGGGTAAGAGGCAAGGTCAAAGTTGTCTTTCGCCTCCGGACTTCCTCCCTCCAATATGGGGCAGATCATAATCGAATCGGTCCGAGAGAAATCAAACCCTCGCCATCATCTCTTCGCGCCGTAACTCTCACGGACACGACGGTTTTTCCCCTCTAAATCAATCAATGGATCGAATTATTATAACATGAAAAAGTTAAGGCGAGTGGATGGAAACCCCAAAGAGAGAAAGGCTAAACATTACAGAAGCTGCCCCCCACCAAGTGGGAACTCTACACAAAGTCCTTTTCCCTTTCGCATCTGTCGAGAGACATTTATCATGGATGGTACCGTCTGGGTTTTCCCTGGTATTCTTCTTCCTCAGTCAACTTGGGAGTGCTTGACCATGGTTACTCTTACCTTAGCCCCCACCAGTACTGTAGTTGCTATTGTACCAGCGGTGGCCATTTGACTAGGACATGATCAAGACCAGATACTGCTTAGGGGTTAGATGGGGGATGCATGGAAGCTTTTCTCTCTTTCTTGTCATGTCTTGCCAAATGCAATTGTCGCTATGCCGTGTCGCGTTCTCGTTGTGTTTGAATTACACAGTTATCGTGTGATGTTGAATGTGATTATTGCCGCATCGTCGCGATTCGAAATACGAAATTTCCCATGTCCTTATTATGTCGTTTTCTCGGTACGTATGGATTTTGATTTTGTCGTATAGTCTGATATGAATTGATATTTTTCCAGCGCACTTTCACACACGAATGTAATCACGCCACTACACATAAGGAAACGGTCTCATTGATCGATAACGATGGTGAATAAATGTTTTGGTGGTATTCTGTAATCCTAAACCAACACATCATGCGTGCATTGGATATTAAATGATAAGTGATTAACGACTTTAGGTTGCAGTACAAAAAAGGTGTTGTGGGGCGCTAATTTATCTTATGCATAACCAGTCCCAAAAGATCTCTAGGTTTCATTTCACCAGTTCCTCCACACTTGCACTTAGATAATCGACTTTCCTATCTTTGCTCGAGCCTTTGCGTGTCCAATCAACCTCGGCTAGACTTTCTCGTGCTGATTGGTGAAGACTCCAGTCTGGTATTTAAGTTTATGATCATTTTGGCATCTCGCAGATTAACCAAAGTGAAGATTTGGGAAGATCCTAGGAACCCCGATGCTACTAATTGGCGCGCCCGAGATGCTATAGACTGGCAGCTCTATGAGGGAGGTTCGAAACAATACAGAGGGTTCAAGGCGCATTAAGGTTTTTTTCATTGAGTCCGTTGCGTTTGTCGTTTTAATTTCCAGAGTCCTCAGTTCGTGTGACTAAGCATTGGATGCATCCATTCGTTATTATGTGCTTGGATTATGCTTTTGACGATTATCGTGGGAATCACATGTCTATTTGATGTGTTTCCGTTTGTGATGCTTATTTTTGAAGTGTTCTCCTTAATAATTGCATGCTCCGGTTACGGTACATCAGACTCGCATTGCGTAGGCTCACTCTAAACGTCGGATAACACATATAGTCCATATAGTAGCCCATTGAAATACAAAAAATGCGGGTCGGTTTGATCGATGTATAATGGCCAATGACATATCTCTAACAAGATACACGACCCTATAGGGTGAATGAAAATATGTCTATCCATGCCTTCAGTATGGTAAAGTAATGGATTCTCGATCCTGGTCCGATGACGGATGGACGGAAGTCCCAATTCAATCTTCCTCGATGGAGACATCGCTTAAGGAGCGGAGTAGGTCATGGCTAGGGTCTCGTAACGTTATTTATTGCATAAACAACATGCATTCACGGATATTCAATCAGTCCAATGTAAGCCAATTTAGTTAACTTATCTTTGTGTGGATTCTCAATCAAGCAAAGAAAGGGTCTCCTATCAAGAAATGGATTTTGGTCCCCATCTCACTATTTCTTTCACTTAAGAAATGCAATGCACAAATAAAAAGAGAAAAATGCTCATTTAAGGATTTTTCTTTTTGTTTTTTTATGTAAATTGCAGTGATCTTTAGTACCACATATTCAATAATTTGGTCAATCCCATCATCAGTCTATTCCAATATGTTATCTTTCGACAATCAACACTGTTGAGATTGTGCTCGAACATCGTACAAATTTGTGGGTAAAAAGAAGACGTTAAGTTTCCTCTATCGGAATATTAAAGAACGATAAACCACATCCCTCGATCTTGTAAAATTAACACGATGCGTTTCTAAAAGATGGCCAATAATATTTTGACTGTGAAATTTTTATCGATTGAGCTTGATTTGCACGAGATTTTGGGAGTTTGTACACACCTATTGCATCTACAAAGGAGAGGATAGAGGAAGCATGCTTGATTGAATTACATGCTGTTTTGAACCTCAAACGTGGTGTCTCAAACCTGCCAAGTGTTCTTCAGTCATTTCGTCCACGGTCGGTTGACGTTTCTAGTTATGTGTTGCATTGTTCCACTCGTTTATGGTTCTTCTCAGCACCACAAAACTAGTTCCCAAAATAAATTTTCAAAACGGCAAATATAGGAAAAAAAATTTCTTAAATTTCCTAATTAGAAAATGTTGCTGGTTAAATTATGTTTTTCTACCGACAAGAAGTTTTCAATGAAACAAACGAAAACTAATTGCTAGAGAATGTATGCCTGTGATGCTATTGCTAGTCTTTAGATTCCTACTCATTGTTCAATGTCATTTTTTAACTTTACATGGAGAGTTCTAGATCCATTGCTTGCAGAACTACCCCATTCTTAAGACGGATTTTTCAATTTCATTTTTTTTTACTTCTTTGTGTATTGGCCTAAACATTCGATGTGTGCGAAAAATAAATTAGAAGAACCAAAACTTTCAGACAGCACTCGGTTTAGTACCGCAACTTTTCAATTCCATTATTCTCAAAAGCCAATCAATTAAGTTGCTCCGGCAACTTGACCTTGCCGAAAAATCCTATGCGCTTCTTTTTTATAAGTTATCGATGTGCTTCTAACGTTATTGTTTTTAATTAACGAAAAAAATCGCACGGCAAATAGGAGGGCAAACACTTATCTGTCTCTCTCAATCTTGAATCATCATCCTCTCAAACTCCAATCTACCATGATCGACCCCACCTTTCTTTTGAATGACCGACTTCGACAGCTAAAATAATTTGGCTCCCACAAAGATTAAGAGCCAAAATAGCCTTATCTCGATATAGAATTTTTTTCAATAACATGAATTGAATAGAGTAACATGGAAAAAAAAAAAATTAGAAAGTTCTGCTCCTCTTCATTTTGACCATTGAAACTATCTTGCTTCATCACCAAAACAATTTCCCTCGCGAGCGGAATCGAGCTCCATTACTGCAAAATCCTACGTGCCACGTGGACGGACGTCAGCCAAACAGATGGAACTCGCGCACAGTTCGCCGTCTCTCTGCCACACGCGATATTTGTCCGCTGAAAAAAGCTTCATTCGGTTCGACAGAGAAGCTCTTCAAGAGTTGAAGCTGCCCTCGAAGGCGAATTCTCAGTAAGTGTTTCAGGACTTGAAAGCTCGATTCATCTTAACGTTTAGCGCATTCGATTCACGGTGAGGGGTGCACCGTTTGTCGGCAGCTCCGCTCTACACATGCAGGGGCTGTACGTTTCTTGATTTTCAAGCAGGGGGGGGCATCTTATGTTTGACAAAATGCCCGACTGGTGCGAAAGGATTTGAATTTTGAGTTGGTTCTTGCTTCTTGGGTAGTGGGTAGGTCCAAATGGAGAAGGAAAGCTGATAGATAATGTGCATGTGATCATTTGTTTTCCGTGGTAGTGTGTTGCTTCAGAAAAAAAAAGCGTTGCTGGGTTTTTTTCTCTGTGTGGATATGATTGTTTCCGGTGAGCAACTGCGGAAGCGTTGTAGTCGAGCTTTGCGAAAAATTTGTTGTATAGACTCTTAATGTGGTCGAGTAAATGAATCACAGTGCAAGAAACCCACAGTTCCCCCGTGTTTCTGGGGAGTAGGATCCAATATTTCTTGGAGTGTTTTTGACTTGTTCTGACAAGATTCTTCTGGGTTTGTGGATGATTTAAGCGAAAGTGAATTAAATGGGAAAACGGAGGTTTAAAGTTCGATATCCTTTCTCATTCTCTTCTTCGGGTGCAATAGTGCATTCGAACTTTTGGAAAAGAGTTAATTTTCAACCTACACAAGATGACAACTTACACTCGTGGGCCAATTTTACTTGGATTTGCACTAGATTATTATAAAGGTAATAGAGTCATTGACTCTCGAGGTGTAAAAGCTCTCTGATCTCCTATGTTTGGTAAGTCTGATAAATTCGACATTTCAGAAGTGTCTCTTTAATGGAACTGGGAGAAATGTTATTGCTCACACGTGATCGTGCTTTAAGTGACAAACCACCTCTATCCTTAAGTCTTCATTTATATTTGGTTTCCTCAAAAGAAAAAATTTCTTGCAAATGCAGCCAGTCACAATTATCTTTTGAGATGGTGTACATGTATGACTTTTGTTATGAGAATCATATAATGTGGTTCTGCATTCTGGTTGCCGATTGCCAATAGTTACAAGTCAGTTGATATGAGGCTTCTAACCCTAATTTGTGTGACAGGGGTAGCTGTTCAATGGAGATGAGCACTGCAAGGTATACATGCTGCACATGCATCAGAAGAAGTCAAGGAGTATATTTTATTTAATATTATGTTGGTTCTTCCTGTACTTATTAAAAGATGTCCATGATGGGACTAAACTCTCGCATAAGGTCCTAATTGTTTAGAAATTATGGTGTGTCCTTTGTGGTTTTAAAATGTAACTAAGAAATGATTATACTACATAGGGATGGGATGGCATTAGATAATCTATGTGGACACTTCACTAAAAACAAGGCTGCCATGGTTAATTTCCTTTAGATGATGTCATATTGTCTGGTTTATCAAAAAAATGAAAAAAGAAAACTTAGTAGCAAGGTTTGGTTGTCATTGCTCAGTATGACACGGATAATATGTTTCTGTAAATAAGGTGATGTGAATACTACTTTGTTTGGTGAATTTTTCATAGCAAAATCTTTACTATTTTCTGCTGTTTGAAAAAAAAACAGATGTTGTCTTGACAAGCAAGTGTTCCATCTTTCATCAAAAGCAAGAACGCCTGATTGGGAGTCTACTAAGAGAACTTCGCATACTGTGACCTCTATTTCTCAAATGGTCAATCAGAGTACATCATATTATCCTGCATCTTCTCTTAAGATGTGCTATAAACACCTTACGCAGTGGCGGACCTTTTCAACTCCTGTTAGCATAGAGGAATCATTTCCATCTCAGTCAGGTGATGATTATATTGATGAAGAGGATTCTCCTGAAGACTCCCCAGAGAACCTTCTTTCCAAACCATTGAGTAGTGAAGAGGTGAGCTTCCACTCTTTTGATTTGTGATCCTAGTTAACTTTGTTTTCTCTTTACTACTGTTTCATTCTCGAGCAAAGTGGGGTTGTCAATATGGAGTACTAATTTAGGGCGTGTCTGGATAGGCTTTTACTTTCGCTTTTTGCTTTATCCAAATCTTTCGACAAACGCACTTTGACTTTTTTTTAGCCCTTAACACCTGAAACTTTCACAACATGCAAATCACAACACATAGATTCACATATAGTTTTCTCATAATTTTTTGAAATTTGGATAATATGAATATTTTGATAGGAAAGCAAAAAGAAAATGTTGCCTTTTGCTTCTGCTGAAGGATAACCGATCATGCCCTTAACTTTTGTAGCTCACTTGTTGCTTATCTGTTGTTTTTGGAGGGGGAGGGAGGATTGCACAAGGGGGAATACACCCATGTACTTCGAATTGGAGTTTTGGGGTTTTGTCATTTCATCTTTATGTTTAACTAATCCAAATACAATTGATTTCTGCCTATTCAACTTAGTTGTTGCCTTTGACGGTTTCCCATTAATAAAGCTCAGGATTATGTCTCGTTTGTTTTAACATTGTTGAACAGTTAAAAGCACTGCTAGCTGACACAGAAAGAGCAAGACTTATCAGAAAACTTAGTGAGGCCAATCAACAAAACCGCTTCCTCAAACGGCAGGTTTTCATCTTATGCCCTAACATGTCTCTTCGAGTGTAACAAATCATGATTGAATTCTCTTACATGTGTTCATAGGATTCCATCGACTAATGACTATGCATTACACATTTTCTTTTAATTCCTCTCATCGTGTGGGATTGTTGTACTAATTAAAGGTATTGTTGGTCTCTTTATCTCTTGATTGTCATCTAATGGGCTAGTTACATCCATCAAGATTTAATAAGCACAATGAAAAATCCAGCTACGGTCCAAGAACACTTGAACTTCCCAATGTTGGAATAAACTACATTTGGATTTGTTATCTCTCTCACAAACTTCTAGCAATTCAGGGACTATGTTTAATAAATATTCCTATTAATGCAATGTAGTGAATTCCTGCTGTGATTTATGCATACACATGCAATATTTGACAAAGTTTTCTTATAAGAGCACTTCAAGTTACTCATGCCGTGGTATAGAGACAGCAGGAAACAGTTATGCTTCCGGTAAATGTTGAAGACTGCAGAAGCACTGAAAATTAAACTGAATCATCTATATAAGTGGAGCTGCTTTGTTCTGGTAATTCATTATACCCCCATTCAAGAGACTTCTTGGGAAGATAAAAGCATATTAGGGTGGAGTATATTAAAAAGTGAGCAATGAAATGTTACTTTTTCTTTATAAGAATTGTGAGCTTCTTCAGCAAGGAAAGGAAATGTGATAAACTTGGCTGATGGACTTGTCTAAAGATCTCGACATTTTGATTCTCTTCGCCTTTTTGACTTTTGGGTTGAACAAAATTTGACAACTTGGAAAGCAAACTTATGGAGAAAGGCTAAAGAAACCAGTTGATTGATGCAGTGGACGCCTTGAGACAATTTCTGGATTGCACTAAACCCTAACCTAGAGACGTACTTGTAGTTTTCTAACAGTTTTTTGCTAGTCAACTATTTTGCAAAATGTGAGACCATTGGCTAGCCAAAAACATGAATAATGATCATGAGTTTCTGCGGTCAAATGGAGATTGGAATGTAACGAGATACATAAATCCATAGAATGCTCTGTCACTGATGGTTCTGAATCTACACTATGGAAGTACTGATGCTTTAATTTTTGCTTTGTACTTCTGAAATAGTCATTTGATAAGTTTATCATATGTCGTCAACAAGTCACCTTATGAACGGAACTTCCGTTACAGGATCAACTTTTGCTTTTACTGAACTATTGCTCTTATGCATGTCTTGTAATTATGACTGCTTGTATTTCCACCCTTTAAGGTGACCTTATGTTTCAGTATCTCTTTCCTATTTATTCAAAGAGAATTTCTATGGAACTTCCAACTCATAATGATTTTCATTTGCAGGAAAAGCTTCTATTTAGTAACTGTTAAGTGTTGTTTTCAAGGAATCTGATTTCTGACGATCATTTCAGTAGGATAGCCTTGTTACTTACAATCTCTATCTTCAATGTGTCAGCTGCATGTGAAGGAAGATGCATTGGTTACCTTCAAAAGTGAACTTGCAGTTATGGAACTTGAAGTACAGGTTTGTCTTAAAAAATAACTCTGTCCAGTAATTTATTAGCTGATCTTCATGAGAGAGATATTTATGGGCATAGGAAGCAGATTGCCTGCAGTGGTAAGGCAAGTTAGTATCTGGGGGTTGGATGGTAAGGCAAGTTAATATATTGGGGTTGGATACAATGGCAGCCCCTTAGTTTTAGGTAAATTGTGTTTACAACCGATACATTTTGGAAAATGACTGTTGACTGCATTATCTTAAAGGGAACCGAGAGTCTGAGACTTCATATTAGAAGTAGTAGGATCCAGAAAAGATTAAAAATGTTGACATTGTGTTAATTAAGATCTTCTAGTCTAAATAAATGGGAACTGATGTTATGGTTCCATTTTGTTCTCATTTTAGTTCCAAAATAATGCAGTCTATGTCGGTGATCAACGACCTTGATTTTGTTGGAGTGTCAGCAATCACTTGAAGATACATTTATGGTCAATTTTAAAATGGAGGGTGCCTTAGAATTACCTAAAATATATTGGTGCCAGCTATCCTATTTTGTGCAAGGACTTATCAAAAAAGAATGATTTCAGTTAATTTGAAAATGAGTTTGGCAGGTTATACTGTGAGCTTTTCTTTCAATGATATGCTAAATAGTTTCATTAATTTAGCATGTGTTTGCAAGAGCAGCTACGGTTGGATGATTTCTCTCTGTATTCAAGAACAACTAGGTTGACACAATTGAGACATCATCTCTGTGTTCAATGAACAGGGTCGCTCTAGAAAACAATCTGCATAAAGAAAAACAATCTAGATCGATTTTCAAATTTTGCATAACCTTCAGCTTTGGAAGAAAGAGAGGTTGTTCAGGAACTCCTAATCAAGCTCTTGTGAATGTCATGTACTGGGTTTGTCCTACTCATTATTCTCTGTGTCGATTAAACCATGCAGTTCAACCTTAATTCTAGTTAGTTCGCGCCACAAAAGTAGAGCATATCTTTTCATCCTAAATCCAGCACCTGTAGAAGTGCTAGCTTGATCAAGCAGACTAATGTTAGTTTTTAAAGAACTTACTTTGGGCCAACGACAGCCTAATCACATTTTTTATCTAGGACATTATGTCAAAATGCTAGAAAATAAAAGTTATGACGGAAAACTCCTGTTTAAATTCAGTGGTAAGGCTGCATACATCAATTCCTCCCCTGAATGCAGGGAGCCCTGTGCACTGAAACATCATTTTCTGTTCGTATTTCCTAGAATCAGTCAGTGTTGTGCTGTATAATTTTTTTGAACTGATACGGTTGTCGCCCGTTAACAGGCTTTGGTTGCACTAGCAGAAGAAATTGCTAAATCAGAAACTCCTGTGGGGACAAGGAAGATTAATGGGAAGTACGTCCAGTCTCACCTTCTTTCACGGTTAGAAGGTACTGGTAGTATATGATTTTTGGGCTAAGCTGGATGGATTGCATTCATGTCATTGATTTTTGCATTACGCTGGATGGAATACATCAATATCATATCTATCACTCCCCCTTGGTCCTGTATGATGATCTCCAGCTATCAGGTTGACAAATTTCTTTATGTTGTTTCCATTCAACTAAGGTTATAGATTCATCCATGTTATATATTTTAGATCCTGAGAGTTAAAGTACATATGATTATTCCAAAGATATTCAGGATTAAAATTAAAGTTGAGAGTCTTAACTTTATTAGGTTCTTCAAGGGGGAGCAGATCCTTAACTCGGTCAATATATTCTTGTGGCTTCTTTGATCTGATTGCCTGCTTTGTAGGAAACTCTTTTGCTGATTTTTGTGCTACATAGGTGTTTAGTGAGCAAGTAATGGGTTATGGTTCAGCACCTTTATGATTTTCCCTCTCATTTTTTCTCCCTTAAAGCAATTCGTGAAAAGCTGAAAGAAAAGACAAAGGATGTTGATGCTGCACGGTCCAAGGAAGTCCCTCTGTTTTGGTATGGCATGGCTGAGGTATGCCTGCTCATTTTCTAGTCATCCCTCAATGAGTATATCTTTTAGGATCTCTTCGTTGAAGTAAGGATAAGGATCCAATGGATATGCTGAGTGTTTTTTACTACCCTACCCAGCAAAACTAGAATTTCAGACTAGCGAGATTGGATCAAAAGATTAACTCGTACATAATGGAGAAGGATACATATATGGTTTGTGTACAACTGATGAGCATTGCAACAGGCACAAGCCTACAATTGTTCAGAAGCTGTTGATCCTGTTTAATTAATTCTTATTGTGGAATGAGGTAGGCATGTGGTTACAGTTCAAGCCGAATAGTCAGGTCATTTCAATTTACTGATATAAGTAAAAATAACCCACCTCCCCCAGCCTTAAATAAGTAAATGAATAAAAACATCAAAAAGACAAAAACGAAAAGACAAGAAAAGGGTTTCACATAGACAATTTTTTCATTTGCCAGAGTGTGCAAGTGATGGGCACATTTGATGGTTGGAGTCAAGGAGAGCATTTGTCTCCAGAATACACAGGTTCCTTCACAAAGTTCTCAACAACATTGATGCTTCGACCTGGAAGGTATCCCATATCCTGTTATTTGCTTTCTCTTTCTGTTACTGGTTACTCTTCCTAACAGTTCATCTCAAATTCCATGATGGAGGTATGAGATCAAGTTCTTGGTGGATGGGGAATGGCAGATATCTCCAGAATTTCCGACCATTGGCGAGGGGCTAACCAAAAATAACTTGCTAATAGTTGAATAGCTTGGGGAATGCATCTTCAGGCATTTTGAAACACGGGACAGCTGAGCTTGGCACTTTATTGACATTAGCCTCAGGTCTTCTGCTATCCTTGAGACCTGCAAAATAGCCTTTACAGTGTGAAATGTGAACGGGACCTGACTGGAGCTGCAGCTCCTGACAAATGGAAGGAAAAATAGAGAGGAACTATACTATGTCTATGACCAGTTTCGATGCACATTGTTTTCTATAGCATGTGCCTTTCATTTGTCTATAATGGACACATCATTTTCTTACTTTTTGTGGACCTCGATGTGTACAAGTCTCTCTCTTTTCTGCTGTAAACTCTCCCCTAGTCTACACCTTCAATTTTCTTAACGTTATCAAGAATACTATCTGGATAATAAACAGCTGGAGAGAGAGAGAGAGAGAGAGAGAGAGAGACACTCCCTCTGCAATGAAATGGAAAACCCTTCTGGATACTGCCCCAATTTCTGTGAAAATTGTTGCTTTACACATGTAACATGGGCTTCATCGAGGAGGAATGGACTGAAGTTGCACGTCAACATTGATGTATGCTTTTGTGTCATCGTCAATCTGTTCGGATAGTACACATGTTCTTTGCATTTTGATAGTTGAGTGATTCGGTACCAGTTGTCTGGTAGCAATTTTCACTTAAAAAACTCCAGTTCCAGGCTATACTCGCTTGGACACGATAGGTGTCATAGGACCCTCTATTTTTTTACTTTTTTTTTGTTGGGGGCGGCAAAATTGGTTCCTCGACTCCGCAACATGAGCTAACAAGCAAGAATTGCACGTTTCTTGCTCTAAATCTTTCACTGGGGAAGAGAGTTAAAGGTGCTGACCCTGGCGTGGGGAGGTAGAATGCATAAGTCAAGGGGCTACCGTCTCTTTCTCCGCGTGATTCGAGATTATTGTATTTTCAATGCATTCCGAATGACCAACTCCGTTGTTAACGAAACTCGGTCAGGACTAATTAATAAACCCAAGCTGAAAGGTGGTGCGAGAGGTCAACCCTTCAGAATTAACCCGGATGATAGGCAAGAGACGACTCTACACCATTTCTCATTGGCGTTAGAAGTAGGTATTCACCAAGAATATTCTTTCGGCACCCAGGAAACAGATATCAAATGGTGTGGTTGCGAAAACGTTCTTTTCCTCCATTTGAGAAAAGGGGAGGTTTTGGAAGACGATGTCACACAGTGTATGACTTTTGTTGGAATGACAGACAAGATCCTCTTTGCATTACATTTCCAATTCACATGTCCTAGGGAATACCAATGAAGCCTCATCATCATCAGCGACCCCCACCGCCCACTCCTCCTCCCTCTAAGCATGCAAAAGAAAAGAAGCTTTGGTTGAGCATTTAAAAATGAATAATGTGACAGATGACGGGCAAAATGTAAACTTGACAGGCTGCAACTAACGCCCAGGATCAGACACATGTGGCCCAATCCTATGTGCGAAGTAAACTTCCACTGCTAATATTATATCTCAAATGGAGCTTTAGTCAATCTCTCTCTCTCTCTCTCTCTCTCTCTCTCTCTCTCTCTCTCTCTCTGAATCTAGTATATAAAATATGGGCGAAATGGGTGTCGTTGTTTGTGCGAATACTTCTCTTTAACAGGCCCTCGAGCATAGCATTCATTTCACCTTTTTTCCTGTGAAAGAAGAGAGACTTGGCCATACGCATTAGCAAAGTCTTGAATGGTGGGAACCATCGATACCTTCATGCGTTTTTCCTGTTCCATTCTATTCCTCCAGAACGAGATAGCGCGTGCCTCGCACACGCCCTCCTCCTCCTCTCCTTCCACCTTTGGCTCCTGCAAACAAGTTTGGGACTATCGCTGCCTTGGCCTCGACCCATCTATGTGAACTTCCGATATTTCTTCCCCCACAGGCGGAAGAAGTCCAAGTCTGTGCTGTTTTCTTCGGTTATTGCATAATCCTGTGAGACATCCATGGATAAAAGGCAAGAAAAGATGAAGAGGAATATGTCTGAGAAGTCACTGCAGATGCAAAGGCATAAGAAGAAGACTAGTAGTGATGATCAGAGCACAAATAAGAACAGGTTTCTGGTAACTGTCAATGTCCTTGGAAGTGCAGGACCAATAAGGTTTGTGGTGAAGGAGGATGATCTGGTCTCAGCGGTGATTCAGACTTCCTTGAAGACTTACGCCCGTGGAGGCCGTCTTCCGGTTCTCGGCACCGATGTCAACAACTTTGTTCTCCATGGTGCTGCAGATTCAGATGGTAATATATTCATTTATGCCACAGATTCAGATGGTAGATTTTATTGTCCTGATATGCCACTGTTTTCAATTTATCCAGATATATTATGTGTAGTTTTTTTATTGTCAATACAATTTTAGGAGAATATATGTGAAGGCTTGATTCGGTTCCCTCGATATCACTGCCTCTAAATATGAGAACCGAAATTCTGGACTAGCCTCCATTTGATCAGAGGCAATCAAATTTATTTTTGTGTATGGGTCTTTGTTTTTACCTATCAGCATGATGTGCTTCGCTTGGTATTTATTCGCATTCACAGTTGTGTCAGTGGCTGATAAGACATCCAGATCCAGCATGAAAACAAAGATATGATGAGTCTTACTGTTTCTTGGGACATTATTGTGAATCTCGACTGACTCTTATGATTTTTCTAGGGTCTGCCTTGAACCCATCGGAAGCCATAGGATCTCAGGGAGGAAGGAATTTCGTGCTGTGCAAGAAGCAGCTTCAGCCACAGATGACGGAAGCCAGATCCGAGATGATATCGCGCAAGAGAAGCGGGAGTTGGAAGGCATGGCTCAATAAGAGCTTTAGTTTCAAAATACTATCCCATTGAGATGGCTCTGTCTTGTATGTCCTAAGCCCCTCATACATATCGTCTTAAACTTAAATCATTATGTTCCCGCAATCATCGACAAATTAATCACTAACGTCCTAATGTCATCGGCGGCGGAGGGACATGAACTGTTAGGAAAGCGCATCTCACTTTCAAGCTTGTAATTGATGTGGACACCATATATGGCATGTATGTTTGCTTTTTCATCATTCTGCTGTTGACCTGTATGATTCCTTTTCCAAGTGCAAGTTCGCTTTCCAGAAAGATATGATTGAATACATAGGATTTGGGCAAGAATATGTTGGAAGACAGGAAAATATGTTACCTAGGGAAGGTGGGGAAACTAAAGTAGTATCCTTTTCTTTGCTTGAAGAATAGGAATATATGACTTTGGGGAAATCATGGCAGCATAAGCGCAATGGCTCTATGTGAATTAGGGAAGTCCCGGTGTGCAAGAATCTACTGCATAAAGCACTCAGGATTAATTACAACGGGCAATCTCGGTCTAAAAAGTTACCGATGTGGATTGATCGGTCAGACACTTGATGGATCGTGTGCAAATAGTGGAAGTAGCTCCTCTTTGGCATTGGGAGAGCCAGAAACGAAGGAAATGTGATTAAAAGCCTCTCTTTTCATCCTCTTCCTTTGCTTTTCCTTAGTTTTTAGGCTTGACAACATCGTACCGTAGCTTAGTGATACTTTTCGTGCTCTTAGTGAATTCAGTGTAGAGTTACCAGACGTCACTCTCCGTCTTAACGAGCGGGACTTGGGATCGGTATCGAACGTCAGTCGCACAGTCTTGCTCTGAAAGATTTTTTGGATTTCAGACGGAGGTGAGATGAAAGTACTTCAAATCTGGGTGAATTATTCAAACACCCCCACCTCCCCAACCCACCCCCCCTCCCTCCTCCCCCTCCTCCCTCCTCCCCCTTTTTACTTTGGTTATTTATCCGATGACATGTGTATCTTCTACGTGGTCAGATTTGTGTTTAGATTCGTGATATCGTATATTAGACCAGATTTTCTCTTTTGGATTTGAGGCCCATAAATAGGCTTTGGTTGTAATATCGAAGTTAAGCAATTGAATCGTTCCATCGTTCTTCTTGTTTTCTAAGTTTCACCCTTGCCATCACAATGCACCAGTTCACATATGCATCTGCTTTTGTAAGTTCTCCGTACCACTTCGATTCTCCCCAAGCACCAACACAGGGTCCTCCATAAATGACCTCACCGCGTACTGTACCAACCTTGTCGCAGTGGCTGCAACACAACCAATCGTGGGTCCTTATCAAGCTTCTGCTTCTGTGGTCACAAGATGCCCTTCGTTGCGTGCTTTTCAAACACTGGCTGATAATTTCAAACCATCTATTTCAAGGCTAATGCGAACACTCGCTTTCGAACGCAAAGTTCAAGGGGGCCAGTTTTCAAACAGTGTTAGTATCACACATATGCACCGTCTACCGGAAAGATCATTTGGACGATGCTTGCTTTTCCAATGGTGCTAGTACATACTAAGATCGTCTACACAAACAACTAAAGTTGAAAGCACTGCTTTTGAATGGATTCCTGGCAATTGTCTACCTGAAAGTTTTGCTAATTTGGGTGATTCTTTGAAACTGTTTCCAAACTCAAGTGAATCTGCACTACCAGTACCAACTTGAGCTTCAGATGTTTTGGACATTACCGATACATCATATATTTTAATTAAATGTTAACACCTAGGTGGCTTTTGCATAAAAAAAGAAAGTCCAGTGGACGATGAGGCGGCCTTTAATCACAAAACGATGCTGCACTAAAACAATTTAATCTCTCTTTCTATCAAGTTCTCTCTCGCTTGCTCACTCGCTCTCTTTCTCTCTCATTCAAGCCATGATGCTTATCCCTCGTGAAAAGGTATATATATTTCTCTTGATCCTCTACACCTCGCCTAAGGTGAGGAAGTTCTACATCGTCATCGATTTTCTTAACTAATGGATGCCTAATCTCAATTTGTGGCTGCATTTTGCTGTCCTGAGGGCTTTCTGTCAATGTGGATATGAGGTCGTGTTAGATTGTCAATCATTTCGCGGTACCGATGCTCTGCTATGGATGTTCTTAGTTGGTGAACCTACATTTAAGGCTTTGTCGCTTCTCATTTAGTAGGAGTGTTGCTTGAAGTAAATACAGTCCATGTCCATATGTAACTCATGTTGGGGTGTGGTTCATACTTCCCATCGATAGGAAGGCACGAGAGTCCTGCTAATTAAGAATTGTAACAGAGAGGTGAATATGCTAATTATAGTGAAATACTCTATTGAATGTAGCCTCGTTTAAGGGTGAACCAGGATAAAATCTTGTATCTCGATTTGTCTTACTTGCTTTTACTCTCTATTTCATTGTGTTTGTGCGACTAATCCTAACAACTCAAAGCTGAACAGGTGATAAATGCAATTGTCGCGACCGAACTCCCGAGCCCTTTTATATCGAACATGCAAAAAAGGGGGCTCGCCTGGTACGTGCTAAGTCTAGGTTCAGGACTTAACTCGGGCCCTCCCAAGCCCATACCATATCGCGACTTAGGGTTCAAGTATTTAACATGCAAGTGGTTTATACCAAGGAGTCGCCACTAATCGATTTGGGGTGGGTCGATTAAAAACCCAAATAAGGTGATGGGAGAATCACCCTATTCCTGCGAACCAGAGATTAACTGAATTCGGGGACTTGGTTACACTAGTTGGATAACTAATGCCCGTTTGGTACCTTTTTACCCTGTTCATTTCATGAAAACATTTGTCAGGCAATTTAGATTGATTTTAGGACCTTTCTCCTAACATGTGAGGTGATCAAGCGAGTGCATAATCAGAAACGATCAGCAGTCAAGAACACAAAAATTCATGCAGCCTAAGGTTCTAACCTTAACTAAGTCAGATGACATTCAAAACACAACTCATGCGATTATATTAAAAACATGCATAATAATACAGCGATAATAAAAATAACATGCAAAATATTACCGCGCAATTCTCAGGCTTGTCTAATTTAAACAAGACAAAAATATGCATAATAATACTACAATAAATTAAACATTTAGATTATATCACACAATAATTTTTTAAAAAAAAGATCTTTTCTTTTTTTATTTTTAAAAAAAAATTAATTTTAATTAATTTTTTTTCCAGAAAAAAATGATAATAATACAGAAAAAGAAGAAAAGAAAAAAAAATTAAATTTAAAATTTTTTTTGAAATTTTTTATTTTTAAAATAAAATAATAAAAATAATAATATAATATTAAACCGGGTCGGGTCGGATCCGGGTCGGAACCGACCCGGGTCAACGGATCCGACCCGGGCGTTGACCCGGGTCAGATCGGTCAATCCGGATCGGGTCGGAACCGACCCGGGTCAACGGATCTGACCCGGTCGTTGACCCGGGTCGGATCTATTAATCCGGGTTGGTCGGAACCGACCCGAGTCAACGGATCCGACCCGGGTCGGATTTGTTGATTCGGGTTGAATCCGACCCGAACATACAGACCCGCGGGGAGGGGGGGCGTCGGAGAGGCCAAAATTGGCTGTCCGCCGGCTAACCCAGGCCAGCGCCGCCCCCAAATCGCCCGACTAGGACCGCCTGTGGGCTATGCCACTCACCTGAGCCGCCGTCGGACCACCGTTCGCCGGCCGGCGATGAAACAAAAACCAGCTTGGTTGAGGCATTTCGTCGAACGCCTGGCGGGTGCGTGGAAAAACGAGGGATTCCGACCTCCTCCAGCGATCCGGTCGACTCCGGCGGCTTGGGTTCACCTCCGACGGCGACTAGGGGTCGGGACCGACGACGGTATGGGCCGAGATTCGCGCGAAACGGCCGGCGCAAGTCCCGGCCTAACCACGCTAAAAAACAGGGGAAAACAAAGGGGCTTCTCGGCCGGGGCTCACCGGTCGACGGCGCGTCTGGGTGGCCTTCCAGGTCCGTGGGCGACAAGACGCATTTGGTTCTCCTTCTTGCTCCGACGAACACTCGGTTTGCTCTTTCTCTCTCTCTCTATTCTCACTCTCTCTCTGTTCTCTCTCTCACTGTTTCGCCGACCGGGGGCTCTCTCTCTCTCTCTCTCTCTCTCTCTCTCTCTCTCTCTCTCTCTCTCTCTCTCTCTCTCTCTCTCTCTCTCTCTCTCTCTCTCTCTCTCTCTCTCTCGCCGCCGTCGGCTTGGCGGCGGGGATGGATGGCTAAGGCGCGGTGGCCGCCGGAAGAGCTCTCAGCTTCTTCTGTTTCGCTCCGTCTCCCCCTTTCTCTGTTTTTCTCTCTATATCTCAAAACGGCCGACCGGACCTCTCTCTCTCTCTCTGGCTATTTATAGCCGGCGACGACGAGCACTCTCTGCCTCTCTGCGTCGGCGTGACGACGGCCTGCACCGGCCTACGCCACGCCACGACTTTCGTGGCCATTTGCAGGCCGGTGCAGAGCAGGGGCGGAGCAGGTCTAAGACGGGGCAGAGAGGAATAGCGAGCTGAGAGGGAGGAGGAGATAAGGGGAAGCCGGGAAAACGGGGAGGACGGGACTGGCAATTAATGCCAGTCCCGTCGGCGTGCTCATCCGGCCCTGCTCTGGCCGGATAGCGACGGTGAGGAGCGGCGCCGCCGTGCGTCACGCTGCCGTCGGTGAGCAGAGGCGAACAGGGCAGCGAGAGCGACGGGGGAGAAGGAAGGAGAAAGGCTGGGCCGGGCCGGCCCAGGCCCAGGGGGGGGGAAGAAGAAAAGAAAAGGAAAGCGGGCCGGGCCCGCGCGAAGGGAAAAAAAGAAAAGGAAAAAGGGCCGGGCCCGGGGGGAAAAAGGAAAAAAAGAAATGGGCCAGGTCGACCCAGCTCCGACCCGGCCCGACTCGAATTTTTTTTTTTTTAATTAAACTCTATAATAGACTCTATTAGTGCAAATGTACCTAATTTCTATATGCAATGCATTTAAATAGAAATATTTTTTGTTTTAAGAATTAAAGAAAATTAATTCCTAAATTTTGTATAATTAATTTTGGGCAAATTAAAAATAGGTGTCAATAGCAATCTTGAAGGGTAGCCTTGTTCTTGAGTATCTTAGGTTAGAAAGATGATGTGGTTTGAAGCAAAACATCAAGCACGGCCTGCTAGGAAGGATCAAGCAAGCGCAAGGCACTTCAAACACTCACAAATCAGAAAAATAGGGGAGAAGAGGGGCACGGCCGGCGAGACTTGGAAG